AAAACCCCGAAACATTTGCAAAAAATATACGGACGAGAGGGGTATCAAGACACATATTTTAATAACGAGGTTAAATTGGTGTGCATAACAATGTAAAAAATGCGCATGAGGAAAATCTTCTTTTGTATAAACTTGAACACCATGTTTCGACCCACTCATGACTGCCGCGCCGTCATAAGTTTGAGCTATCAATTTTGACTTCGCGTTGTAAGGCTGTAACACTTCTTTCAGCACAGCAGATATCCCGCAAGCCGTGCGATTAACGATTGGTACAAAGCTGTGAAATCTCTCGGTAGGTTTACCATCTTTCACAAACCGAAAAATCACAGCCAGTTGGGAAACGCACGTGATGTCAGTTGTCTCGTCAGACTGAATCGAAAGGAACTGGCAATTCTCAATTTCCAGAGCCAAATGTTGTAAATAAATTTTATACATTGAGTCGAGCAAATCATTTGGGATATCCTTAGATGTCCCTTTCGAAACAGTTGCGGCATCAAGATGATCTCTCAATACTGTATCTAGGGATGCGGTGTATTCCACCATATCCAAAAATACCCCTCTATTAGAAGAGCCCGCCCGTTCATCGTGCCCACGGAGGGACAGCTCGTGACAACCAATGAACTTCAAAACATCTATCAATCGACCGAGAACATGGCGGTTTTTCTCGACGTTTTGGTTGTGCCGACGAATAGAAACCGCGCGTCCTTCATCCAACTGTGCTGCAATATTAACATTTCCGAATGTTCGGTATTTTACTGCATTGTCCAGATGCTCCATAGAAGATTGATGATCCCTGGCACGCTCGGAAAGATGTTTAAGATCTCTAAAACCAAATTTACACCAACGTGAGTCACGGGCGGTAGCAAAAAGTAGGCAATAAAAACAAAAAAGTGCATTTTTGTCCTCGCTGTAACACAACCATTTCTTGTTTTTTATACCAAGTTTCTGCGCAGAATGTACGCCGACGCTTTCCTCCGTCATGGGATTGTTCCAGTGAACAATTTTTTGGTTGATAAGGCCCAAGACGTTGTACCTCTAATTTTTGTTCCAGCGGCAGCTGCGAAAACGGAGTGCGAAGTAGTGCATCAATCTTATTCATTATGAGGTCTAAGGCTAAGAATTGCGAAGCCGGAAAGAAGTGAGGAGCTCAAAAGGAATGAGGAAAATCGAAAGCAAATGGACTAAAGGTCTCTAACTGATTCAAATAGCGAAACAAGCGACAAAATCGAAGGCGAGGAAACTATCAACTCTTCAAGCAACCAACGAACGAGAAGGAATGCGTGAATATGTCAACACGTTGTTGTAAGAAACTTCGGCATTGTGTCGTCATAATTTCGGGGCGAGCCCCGATCGGCCCCGATGATTTAGTAAAAGAAACAGAAAACAAACGAGACAAACGCGGCGAGTGGAAGATAAAAGAGAGAATACGATATACAATGAGCAACCGGGGCAAAATCGGCGTCGCCCCGTCGACGTTCGGCGAAGGCTTTGCGAGCGAAAAATGAACCATGTCGGGAGAATATGGCTAGTGTAGACAGTCTGTGCAACCGATATTAAGGTATTTTTCGAATATTTTTTATTATACCGAAAAAACAACCGGGGCATTGCCCCGGCTGGCCCTATTGACGCACCGCCACTGCCCAACTGTAAACCAGACAAACACAACACCAGGGGTCGGAAAAAATGCGGCCCGCGAGCTAATTTTTTGCGGCCTTTGAACGACCCGACATTTAATAAATAAAACAAAAATTAATCCCAAATTTATCGTTGTCTCTGCACGGATTTATGTGGTGACAAGTGCTGCTGTACAGCGCTTCGTATGTAACAAGTAGCGTCAGTTGTATGTCGTTCGCGGAGCCACGCGGGTCGAGCATTCCAAAGTGCTTGAACGGAAAAATTTTTTTTTCTTGTCCATTCCAAAACCGGTTTGCTCGATATGCCCAGTCAGCATCACAGTTGTTAGGGGTTTCAATGTTAAACTCGTTACGGAACGAGTCGTCGAAAATTCGACCCCGAGACCCGGGATTGCGCCACAGCTCATCTGTGCGACAGTGCAAAATGTGTAATGTGCACTTTCGGAAGAACATATGGCCTTGAGCAACTCTATCTAAAATGCATTACACTTACATAAATTTTGTACTCGCTTGTAAGATCATCAGTTGGACGACGAGTTGCCATAAAAACATCATCTTTCACGTTGATTATAAGTACATAAAAACAATGTATTGCTGGATAATAAAAAAAAACGCCACATATACATCTCATTGGGACAGGCTTTCAACACAGTAATAGAAGGGTAGCAATGCGAATGCGCCATAATTTGAAGTTTGATTATGGTAGCGATTGTTCGAAGGCGGAAATATTGCGGCCGCGCGCTACCAGAAATGTTTATATTTGGCCCGCAAGTACATGATGTTTGCCGACCACTGCATAACACTATTGAGCAACATTTCTGATTTCATAAACAATTGCCATGTCAGTATGTCGCAATAATGCTGGGTCAATTGTTTTCTCTACGCCCGTATAAGAATGTATCTCATCAGTCCGACTAAGATCTCCCCAACAAAACGATACAGGCATTGTTAACTTTTCCGAAATCTTAATGTGAGGCCTGATTTTCAATATTGATAACTACAAAAACGAAATAGGCTGGAAGTAGGAAACACGGTACATGTGCCAATGTCAATATCTCGAATATGGGGACAGTTAATGGCCATCGAACAAATACAGACATCACATTAAATAGCATCACCGTCGTTTTTAGTATATTGTCAACATAAATTTCCTAATGCGAATAATTTATTGCATAGGCTTAGTTCGTTTGTATAAAGGTGGTCCACCAAATGTTTGGTCAAGCTTTACCGGTCCGTCACTTGAAAAAGGTTGCCGACCACTGGATTAAGTCATTGTTTTGCTTTAATTAAATGTGTAACGACAAACGCAACCCAATTAAGCCCACTTTGACTTAAACTTACGTTTAAAACTCACGTTTTAAACCTTATCCAAGGTTTTGTTTACTCTCCTGATTTTATAATCAGTTTTTATTTATTTGTTTTTACCAACCTTTTTATCTTTTTGCTGATTATAGAGTCGAAATAGACTTATCTTATCTTTATCTTATCTAACCAGGGGTGTACAACCTGTAGTCCGCGGGCCACATGCGGACTACTAGGAAAAATTGTGCGACCTGCGGAGAAGTGCCATGGTGTGCGGACCGCAAAACGAGTTTTTCATTAGTTTAAACTGGTTCATGTGAGCAATTCCAAACCAATCTCTTTGCTTTGTAAAGCCTATAGCTGAGTCCAATTTCTTAGATGTGCCTATTACTTACTATTGCGAACAATGCGATTCACAAAGCTGTCACTTGCTGAGCAGCGAGCATTAACAGATTAAGGAAAGTGCAGTGCAAACGCCATTAAATTAGTAAGAACCGCGCATGGGATTAGTTGCCAGGTACCGGTACCGTACCGGTACCGGTATTTGTTCCAGGTACACGGACTTGGTGGTGGAGAAAGTCGTACCATGATCGATCAGCGTTTACGTGAGCCACCCTACACAGGTACCAGTACCGGTAATGCACAGGGGGAACCACTCGCCATGCGACGGCGGTACCGGTACCGTACCATGACCATGCCTGCAACTGTACGAAAGCTCTTCTTGTACTGGGAGATGCAAAGGTGGCCTAGACCAGGGCTACTCAACTATTTTTACCGAAGGTCCGCATACAAAACTTCAAAAATATTTGGGTCCGGACTTTCCAGAAATTATATTTCGGCATCCTTGAACACGCACTTCCTCGACAGACTACGGTAATGATTATTAGCTAGGCCTATATAAAATTGTTTATTATGGCGTTAAGAGTTCTTTTCATACCTGTATATATTTAAACCTATAAAAGTGATTTTATAAAAGGAAACTTCAAAAGTCAGAAAGTGGGGCTAATGATACAAAATACAGAAATAAAGAATTCTGGAATTAGTGGCGGTCCGAATCGAATACCGGTACCCGAAGGTCCGGAATCGGACCACGGTCCGCCAATCAGCCAGTTGAGTAGCCCTGGCCTAGACTACGGTACCGGTTAGGCACCTACGTCGGTTTTCTGTCTTCGTGCACCCCGAAAAGTGATCCTACGATTGCTACGAATCTACAAACTACAGTCAGACAGTCACCGCAACACTGTCTTCTGGACTTGACGAAGACTTAACTGCAAAACGTTTTGCTGTTTTGTAGGTTTGTCTAATATCAATTTGTCTACTAGTTTAAGCTCAAAGTCAGAACTAGGCACAACGAAGCAGAAATGTGGGAACATAATAAAAGATACCGGTAATTCAATTAATAAACCAAGGAAATTAGTACGGTTACTGTTAGCGGTAGTTTATTATTGTCATCACTCTCTCAGTCTCTTTAATATTGTCTGTTTACTTTTTGTGTTTTTCATATCACTGTATCAGAGAACCAAAATAAAATGATTTTTTGATTGAACATAAACATAGCCTAGTTCTGTATAATTTGAAGTTCTAGATTTGTTGAATTGTCATGATTGTATGCGCGGCTAATGGCTCAATGGGCTAAGCGTTAGGAATACGCTCGCCACCGCACCTCTAATTACTCTGCGTGGGTTCACAGGTTCGAATCCCATGCAGGGATGGACGGATGGTTATGTGTGAGAGGATTGCTGGACTCCTCGCCGTCGTTGGGTGGTTCACGTAACCGCTGGTAGGTTACGGCTTCCTCCACCACCAAGTCCATGCTTCCGAAAACAAACAATACAGTAAACCTAATCCCATTCCCGACTTGGAATGGTAACCGGACAAGAGGCCGTGGTTTGTCATATGGATAAGCCGTCTTATCGGCTTTCCTCTCCCCCAGGATAAATATGTAAATCCTATCGTAATTCAGACTAATATTTTGTTGTAAAACTGAAAGTGCTGATTATTTAAATTTTTGTTAATACAGTACGTAATACTGTATGCTGTATCTGATTTGTTTTCCAGTCTACTGATATAGTTCATCTTTTCTTTTAATGATAATTAGAATTGAAATAGTAGTCTATACATTAAAACTGCAAAACGTGGTGTTGAACTCTATTCTGTTGATATTGGAACTGACAATAGTTCGCAAAATTTTTCCATGAACATCCACTTACTGAATGAAGGCTAAAATGACTTCACGGAGAAAACAAGAAGAAAATCATCTGAAAATTCTTAAGGAATTACTTGCACAACCTTCAAATAAAAAATGTCTTGAATGCGATCAAAGAGGACCTACTTATGTTGATGTTACAATTGGATCCTTCGTCTGCACATCATGTGGAGGAATTTTGTAAGTTATTATCGGTTAATATCTAGCCATATTTTTAGCTTCTACATTCAGTACGGGCACAGTTTTCCGATTCCAAGAATAAGTTCCACATTGAAAGACATTGATTATAAAATCGAATGCAAACCCCTTCTTTACGAGACAGTCTCGGTCTCCATAAATATCGAAAAAATCGGCAATCCGGCACTGCACAATAAACTAAACGGAAGCATAATGTAAAAATGCCATCATCAGATTCCCTCTGAAAAATAATTTGAGTAAAGCAATTAAACCAAATTTCACTGTAGCCTTTGAGAGTTTTCAGCCAGAAAACGCCATTTGGACATGTGGTGGCTGCGGATAAGTTCAGGTTATTTTCGAGACAAGCATGGCGCAATATAACGCATCAGCCATCGTGCCAGATGCCCTCGTTTCAGAGACAAAGGGTGTTTGTCCTATCGAACCAAATGTGGGGAAATCTTAGAATCGGAGAACTGTGCCCTACTGACGTTGTATGATAAAAGTCGAGATGATTTGAAATTTTGAGTATTATATGTAATTACTCTTGTATCAGCGTACTATATTAGATCAATTCAAAACTCTTAAAATGAAATGCAATGAAGACTTCGTGAACGAAAATTATATTGATTCTTATTGATGTGTTTTGAATTCGCCATCGAATCATAGTCGAATCCCAAAGTACAGCAGGGCACAGTTTTCCAATTCCAAGATGTCCTGACATTCAATTAAATAAACACTCTATTCATCTCTGAAATAGCATAAGGAGAGGTTTGCACTCACTGTTATAACTGATGTTTCTCATTGTGGGAATATGAGAACTGTGTCGTACTGACATACCGGTAGTTATTAGCATAAATTGTTAGTGGCTAAATCTCCTGTAAAAGTCTTTGGTATATCTTTCATCTGTGAAGGAAATGTTTGGGTAATCGAAGCCAGATTGCATATTTGTGTTTCTTTTGCAATGTATTCTAGTATAGTCTAGTAGGCTATTTATTAACTAAAAATTTGCTTCCCAACTTCAAAAGAATACGCCTACAATAGTTTGATTTTCTATTCATTTTTTTTTTTCACTCTACTTTAAAAGTTACGGATGTCTGACTTTTAGCATTTTCATTAGTAATCTGGAATAGGTTCTTTGGAAGTTGTAAGATCCCATTCATGGAGTTTTAGAATATGATTATTAAAGGATTGCAGCAAAATTGATTAGGCTACATATTGATATGCATTTTTATTAATCCCGATACTACTTAATCCTACATTGGAAACCCTATATTACTTTATATCCTGTCCAATATATAACTTCCTATGCAACATATGGAACATTAATTTTGATGCATTAATTAGGATTATAACAATATATGAAATAATGGAAAATGAATGGGCAAAACAAATAATAATGCGGCTAATCTTAATGTTCATATATCAAATTTTTGGTGGATTTTTGGAAATTGGATCAAACAATATTTCGTGAGAAATCTTTGACACTTTAATCCAGGCCAATATACCTCTTACCTGATCACTTTAGGTATATTAAAAGCAATAAATCACGTTTAATTATCAATTATCAATGAATAATTTTCATGAAGTTTATTTAAATGTCAATAACAAAATTCGTATAAATATACTTCTAAAGATACCATAGAAGATTTAAAATATGTTTTTAATCAATTTTGACAACCTTCATTATCTTACTGGAATCCAACCACTAGGTCTCGATTTATTCTAAATGTTATTAATTGTAGTTACATATTTTATCAGGAGAGGTTTGAATCCGCCACATCGTGTGAAGTCTATATCAATGACAACTTTCACAGCAGCAGAAATAACGTTTATGGAAAGTCGTGGTAATGAGGTATCGTTTTTTAGATACTTTCATATTATGAACAATGTTATATACAATTGATATTTGCATTACACCTACATAGATATATAATTCATGTTGGTATTGGATTTGTTCGGTAGTTTATCATACAGTAGTTTCAGTAAATTTCAATTATATTCCTATATTTTTTGTAGTGTCACCATAATTTTAGCTCAGCAGACCTATACCAGACATTTTTTTAAAAAAGTTATTAATTATTTAACATTTGATGTTTGGTTTAGTCTGTTTTAGCTGAATATGTTCGATATTTATGATGACTAATTTTATCCTTATCTATCTATCTTTATACTTGCCTGTTGATTTTCTTCCTTTGGTAATCAATAACAGGAAATTGCAATGTTTGATTGTATTTTCTCATGTCATTGCATTTCCTGTTGAATATAGGCAGCACGACAATACAATATTGTATGAATTTACTGCCATTTACGGTTTATTCATTAAGTAACTAATCGAATTGATCAAAATATTATCACAGTGCCAAAAAATCTACTAGGAATCAGCTAAGCTCGCTATTTCTCTGAATTTAGTGCTTCATAAAGCTGTGTCCATCTTCCACATTACAAACGAAAAAAAGTCCACACCCGTTTTGTCCAAGTCTATCAAATTGTACGCAATAACAACCTTTTAACATGGAATTTTCAGTGGTGTAGAGCAGTTTATCTGGCAAAATATGATGAACAATCGAGAGCAAAACCAGAATCAAGGTCAGATCATTCGAAATTGAAGCATTTTATGGAATTAAAATATGAGCAAAAACGATGGTATGAAAGCCCGAGTCAGCAAAGAAAATTAATGGAAAGTGTCGCTGCTGCTGCGAAAAAGAATCGAGAAAATTCTTCACCTCCTGTAAGACCACTTCACACATTATTAGGAAGCGACAGCAAAGTTCAAATACCATCAGCAAAATCTGTGAGTGTTACTACATTATTGAAATCACATTGACAGGGGTATCCGTTTATATCTATTTTATTTTTTAATTCAAAAATTTATTAAAATATTGTTTGTTCGGTCACATTTGCATGTATCCTAGTGGATACTAACGTAGTGTGTGTACCAGGTTAGGGTTAGGCCATAGTTTTACTCCGATTTTCCTTATTTTAGTTCTATTACGTGTTCAGGACTGTCTGTGTTAGCCAGGTGAATATACCAACTGCCTATAGGTTTCAGTCCTAGTACACAACTTGATGTGCAGTAGGCAAACAAAATTAGTTACCTCCATATTGGTACACACATTTCTGGAGCGCCTCCTTATTGCATTTTGTTTAATCTAATACAGCATGAAATTTATTGAAACTGCCGTAAATTTATATTTCATCAGAATCTAATTTTAAAACTATAGACACAAAGATATACCCTAGTTAGTTTGACTGATATATCCACCCAACAGTATTCGTATTGTATTGGATAATAGACTCATGATGCGATAGGTGTTTCCTATACGCATATTGGTTATTCAAATCAACTTCCACACACTCATTCTTTAGTTTAGTTTAAGAAGTATGATATCCTGTCTCAATTCTTATATTATACATCAATAAAGCGGACAAAGCTTAACAGAATTTGCTTTACAATTACAATATTGGGTCCATTCTAAAAAATTATTCATATTTGTATTTGTATTGAAATTTCATAGGCTAGCTATATGATATTTTATCATTTTATAGCCTTCCAACTATTGCCTACTTTAATGTATTGCTGGAAGAAGAGTCCAGGTTGGAAATGCCTCTGATTATCAGGCTTTGATTGTTAATGCCTGTATTACACAAAATGTTAATCATTACCAACAGTAGCGCTTTCTCTTAAAATAATCTGCACAACTATTCAAACAATGCGTCCTGACCTATTGCAAATGGATTATAACTTATGAATATGAAATTTACATCTAAAATGATCTAGGACTTTGTTGATAAAGAAATATGGGGCAATAAAATTCAAGTGATAAAAGGACATTGTATTGCACACTGTACTGTGAATTTCCACATTTGCAATCATAGTACCGACTTCTATTGGAGAACGCTCTGCAGGTTTTCTGTTTCGAGTACTCGGATTTTATGATTTATGACAAATTCCCATGGTAGCAATGAGTATGAATTACCACATACATTTTTGTGTCATTAATTTAGGCGTTTAGTAATGGCACTATGCAATGTAATATTTTAGAACAAAGAGCCGCGAAGAACAAACATTCGCGAAATAGCCAAGTGACTCCCGTAGTATTTGTACCAGAAATTATGGCCTAATCCTAACCTGGTACCTGGTACGCGTACCATGTTCCGGTGTTCGCCATCTTGGTTCACATACTACGGAAGTAACCAATTTTGTATATGCAATTTTTCAACTTCTATAATCTTAGTTATCGTAGGTGTCACAGACACACAGTATTTAAAAAAAAAAATTCTGTACACTGGTCAGTAGATATATTTTGATATGTTAGATTACGGGTATTTTTTGTGGTGCTAATGTTGATAATTGCGACAATTGTTTGCTATAACATGCCAACCTAGGGTTATAATATGTATGTATATTTAGTCTCAGTAAATGATTAATAATATACTGTTTTTCTAATATAAAGCCAAATCTGTTTCTTATCTTCATGATGTTATTGCAGACATCAATCAAACTGAAACTGATGTCATCGTTTATGTTAAGAAAAATCAACTCAATGATAATACATTCTCCTGAGTATTTATTATAAAAATCGAATCAATTTCCAATGTGTCGAAAACAAGATTATGACATTCCAATGATTCCATGTAATATAGTGGCAATAATGAAACATTATAATGTGAACAACAAACAAAAATGTATTGAATGAAATGCGGTGACAGCTTTGGATTTTCTTCAAAATATGGCCTACTATTTTTTCTGTTAGTTCCCATTTGGGGATGATCAGAACAGAAGTCAAATACCATCTTCTTGATAGGATTTGTTATTTTCTTTCGGTTATTCGAAACAGTTTATTCCATCGATGGCGTCTATATGACACTTGTAAAATATGGATAACAAATATATTGAGTGAGGATGAGATTCTACAGGACTCATGACCACCAAAGTTGTATCAACCACCACTTAGCCTACTGAATAGTTTGAATTTCCGCTAATACTGTCTGATCCAGATTGTTTCACTCCCAGATCCATCTATTTTGACAACATATAGATAATACTGATGTTCTCAAACTACTGCTTTGGTTTTAGTTTTTTCGTGGTTTTTCACTAATTTTCGGAGATAAACATGATCTCCAACTTGAAGAGGTGGTAGTAGGACATTCTACCATGCTCTAATTTTTGCTCTCTGCCATGTCTTCGGGCGAAATTTTTTTTATGATGATCATTTATTTTCGCTACTTTCTTTTGCTTGCTAGTGACGATTTGACACCGCCACCCATTGTACTAACAGCAAACTTTGTTGTTTTGCCCTGTTCCTTTTGAGCTATGAACTTGAAAGTTTCATCAGGATTGTCAGTCTTATTATCCTCCACGATTTCATCTTAGCAATTCCTCGAACTAGGTTATCTTTGATTCTGAATTACATCAGTCTCAGTTTTGTAATGGGTGATTCCACATACTTAGTTTAATTAATATATATTATATACAGTAGGCTTTTTGTAGAAATGATGACTCCGTATCATACACAATAACACCATTATTTCTACAAAGCCATCTCAAATTTACAGAATTGCTGATAATTTTAGCCATGTCTCATTTCAACTTGACATGCATCCCAGAGTTGAATGGTACTATTTTCAGTAACAAGGATTTTTTTAATATTCTTGCGAAACAATTTCTGATTAATTAGTGACATTCATACCATTTGAAATTAAATTATCATTTACTTACCGGTATGTACACTTTGCTATAATAAATTGGGTTTTTATTGAAATATTGAAAAGCATGCTAATTTGTGAACAGAAATTTAGAATCCCATTTCAGCCCAAAGTTATAATAAACTTCAATTTTTTTTTTCAGGAAATTTCTAAAGGAATAAATAATAGCAAAATCAACAGACCTATAGCATCAGATTTATTAGGAGGTTCAAATCCACCAGGTTTAATATCTCCTGTCTCTCAGAACAAACAACAACAATCAAATCAATTGATAAACAATTCATCGAGTTCTACAGGTTTTTCAGATGGATTTGCAGATTTTGATTCTGCCTTTGGTGGATTTTCACCACCGGCTGGTATGTACATTTTTTAATTGGGCATGGTTCACCATATGATTAAGTCGTCTCATCGACCTTCCTCACCTCGGAATAAATATGTAAATCTTATCCTTATAATAATTTAAACTGTGGAGTTATGCTGGTCAGTTGCAATGGTCACTGTTTCCAACTTCTAACATTTTTAAACGATTTGTTGGGTTCCGAATTCTAATATGACTTTTCTTTTGCATAGCTTCATCTGCAAGCACTCAAAATGCTTTTCCGGCATTCAATCAAGTCAATACGCAGCCAATTGCATTTACCAACAATGCAACAGGAAATTCTACAAATTTAATGTCAAGTAATGAACCTACGAAAAACAGTTCTGTTGATAAATACGCAGCACTTGCTGACTTAGATCTTGTTTTTGGAGCTCAACCGCTCCCACAAGCTACAGAAAAGTAAGAATTTTATTCTACTGTGGGGTAGTTGTATTTGTATGTTCCATGGACTATTCAATAACTTGATGCTATTCTTATCAATCAATATAATGAGACTATAGGCTAATTAAAAATCTGCCGAACAAATACAGGCCAGCCAAAATTATTTACCGGTAAGTTATATTGTCAAATGTTTATAATTCTGAATCAGAATAGTGTGCTGAAAATTTATTAAAAAGATGCAGTTTGACAAAGCTTTAGAATTTAGAACAAAATTAGAGAAAACTGGAAATTGTATTTAAAAGTTTCTTTAAAGTTGGCCAAAAAGACCAGCAAAATCATCATAATAAAGTATTACTTTATGAAAATTTCCAGATGGCAAAAAATAGATAAGTTTTTATAGAAATACCTTCAACACAAACTACTAACTATTAAAATATTTCTAGATGATATCAAGGCTCATGTTTGATAATTTACTTTATTCATGTATTTATCTATTTAGGTGCTATTTGTTCAATGAAAATTTTGTTCGGCTTTTTTGCCTGATTTCAGTATTTTATATTTTGCCACCAATGACTAATCTTTGCAGCACTTATCATAATTATCAAGCAAACTCAAATATAAGCCAATGATGTTATGTTTTAGTTAAACTGTTACATTTTTATCATATCAGACCTACTGATTTCATGTGGTCATCGCCGGTGAAGCCAGTTCAGCCAACTACTAACAACATAATGATGCAGCAACAACCCACACAACAAAGCCTTTTTGGTGTGTCAGCTCAACCACAGCAGCAACAAAATAATCTATTTGGTTCATCGCCCATGAGTAATGGTACGTTTATTTTTATGTTGTTGCTAATGTATGTTATGCCAACTTTGTGTGAGCTTGAATATCTTGCTTATGAATAGGTTGCCAAGATATTACTCATTACTAAATACATGGATGGATGATTGGTCAATATTATTAATAGATTATGGTTCACTTATTCAAATTGCAATCTTTACTGATTTATACCTGATATCACAGCACGTAGGATTATAACTCAAATTTTATTTGTGATTCAGATTCTAAAATTACTTATAATTATTGCTTGAATTTTGTAATTCTGCGCCAATAAATCTGGCTTAATTTAAATGCTTGGTATTTCACTCCTGGTTACTCCACATGGCTTTGAACCCAGTGAGGAATAATTATGTGCTAGGTATTTGCCCATCGGGGTTCATGTAATCAACTTAACCATTGGCCAGTTTCGGCTTCCTCTGTCACCATCTACATGCCAGTCTGGAATAACTGGTGGGGTACTCACTAAGTATGTGAACCAAGATGGTGGACACCAGATCGTAGTATGTGTACCAGGTTAGGGTTAGGTCAGACTCATAATTTTATTCCTATTTTTCTTATTTTAGTTCTATTACGAGTTCGGGGACTAGCCAACCACTCCCATAGTATTTGTATCTGAAATTACGGCCTAACCCTAATCTGGTACACATACTACATTCCGGTGTCCGCCATCTTGGTTCACATTCTTCGGGAGTAATACTCGTGGAACATAGAATCGTAATCGGGCAAAAGGTTGTTGTTCGCCGTATAATTAAATTGTCCCATAAATTTTTTTTCCGGGACTCTGGGCTAAATATGAAAACCCCACTTTATCAAATTTTAATTTTACCCAAAAATTAACTGTGAAGAAAATTTTACAGTTCTTCGAATTTGTTAACAATTTTTAGTGAACGCACAACCAGCATCACAATCTTCATGGATGACGACGCCTGCGGCTCCTGCTGCAGTTCCAGCTCAGACTTTCCCATCATCTTCAGCTAGCAATAATTGGAATCCATGGAACGCGTCATTTCAACAGCAACCGCAGCAACAAGCTTCTGCCCCAGTTACAAGTAATCCATTTTTTAATCCAACTCCAGTGACAAATTCCCAAGTTGCGTCATCTGGGAATGAATATGGGGGATGGATACAACCGCAAACTCAAATGCAGAATATGACAGCAAATACAGCAGGCATGTCATCAACAAATCCTTTTGCAGTAAGTATAGTATTCCTAATATATTTTATAATCTCTCTCTATTTTGTTTCTTTTCCCCGCAAATCCTCTTCAAAAGGTAACTATGCTTATTTTACCATCTGTAAAGCGTTTCTGACCCTATTTGACAAAAACTTGTTCTCAACTCTGACTCCAGGCTCCAAGTAAAATTATCTTCAGCATATTCAAACTTATCGTTGAATTTTATTTGTTAGCTTCATGCTCCTTTAGTTTCTGTTTAAAGTTTTGACTTGTACCAGACTTTATAGCAGAGCACAAGAATTTTAAACATACAGAAGTTTAATTTATGTATGATTATTTATGTATTTTCACCTATTTTTACTACACGTTTCAAATCTTCATCCTATGGACTCAAACCCAATTCTTCAAATTTGAAGATCATTAATGAGATATTTTAATTACTCTTATTATAGGACAAATTTTTTTTAAAAGACCCATTTATTCATGTGTACCTCCACTATTTTGCTCAATAATTATTTTGAACTCGAAAAGAATGAAATTGAATTCATAAAAATACTGGGGCCTCTGTATTTCTTTCTTGTATTTCTGGATCTAATGGCAAAAGCTTGAATTGTTTTTAACTTGTAATATTTGAATATTTTGATATTACCAATTTGTATGATCATTTTTTCAGATGGGAGGTGCACCACCTGCGCAGCCTTCATTTTATCAACAGCAACCTCTAAATATGCAGCCAACAGTCAATAATCCAAGTAATCCTTTCATGTTTTAAACAATTGGAATTATGTTCGATCGCTTGTGAATGCCATTTTCCCAATTTCTCTGTTAGTTGTGTTTGCGGGAAAGGAGGTCACTATTTCATTGGAATGAAGAGCTTGAACACTCTTAAAATAGTGCTATTGGAAAGTATCACAGAACGTTTGCTGTTTGTAATTAGAGTACGAATTGAGATTTAGTTAAATAACTGTTAGTTTCTAATCAAACTTTTCTATCGAACAGCTTAGAAAATCGTACAATAACTTAATATTAATAACAAGCATATAACTAACATACTCAAGCCTCAGATTTCATATATTATTTTTTATTGATTACCCTGATGGGGTGAACGTAGATATTATTAGGGTACTGTGAGTCTGGCGAAATTTATACATGGCTCAAAACTCTTATCCATTTAGGCAAAAAATGTGACTTGACCTCTGACTCCAGATTTATGGAAATTTGGATTCTCAATACAAATAGTCATAACAAAAACTTAAGCATAAGCAAGCATAATTGCCTTCTACGAATGATCGCAACTTTAGGCTTTTGAATTTTTGAATTTGATTATCACCATCAGAAGTTTGAAATATAGACTCTGACAAATTTAAAAGTTTCAAATTTGATTATGAACTCGTGGAAATACCACTTGAAAAACACACGAAACTTACTAGACAATGAGCGTGATATTGAAAATCAGATTGAAACTTGAGGGAGTTACTAGTTGTTAATAGTGTTGAATATAAACAGTTGTTTGCTAAATATTTTTGTTTATTGGGAATGTAATTATATTATTTTGTCTCGTAAACTAAGTGGATATTTAGTAATATAACTACTTGAGCTGGGGTTATTGAAGTTTTCTGCTTAACAGACTGCTATACTCTTCATTGATCTTGTTCTGGACACAAGATGTCAGGCATCTTTAGCACAATATTTATTTTACATCTTGTTAATTATTTTGGAATTCTTGAAGCCGCTGTTCCGGTGTGAAGCGTTTTGATCATCGCCATCACCATATCTGGTTCTAATGCATTTTGTTGAATGTGGTCTAGGATAAAATGTATTCTTGTTGAGTTTGTATTCCATGTAATCTTATATTGAATATTTTGAAGCCAATTTTTAGGAAATGATATTTTGGAAGATGTTTAATATAAGAATGTACGATTATTCAAAATTGTTCATTTTCAAATTTAGTTGATTCAATTTTCACATGTCCTGGTATAAATTTGACTTGTACACAAGCCCATTTGGAACTGTGTGGCAAGTAAGCAGATGCATAGACATTTAATTAGCAAGTTCTAGCGTGTGTAGCTATATTTGTTATGCAATGTACAATTCTCTTCCTTGTCCAGTCTGTAAGTATATTTGAGTGTGGCCAGTGATTTACAGTAATTTACAAGCCATGTTTTATGTTCTTATTACTACTTTGTAACTGTCAGATATTTGAAGAATGTGAATGTTTCTTATGGATTAATAATAATAATGTTATGCTACTATTTCTAATCGCTTTGTTATTTCATGTTTGCGCTATTTCATTATTCTATTATCCTACTCAAAATAAAGTTTATGTCAAAAGTAAAAAAAAAATTCAATTTACCCAAGCCGTACTCATTGTGCACTCTTTATCAATATTCGCTGGCTTGAGGTGTGGGGAAACAAATAACAACATACCTCATACTTAGTGTATATTATCTTACAGTTATCTATTCTTCTTTACTGTGTGGCACGGAAACAATGATGAATCATCTATTCATTCGTAACGTGATAACGAGATATGCATAATGGCCATTGTTGTCGCACTGTTAAATTATATCGGAGTCGAAAAAATGAATCGAATGATGAACCACGGCTTTTTGCCCGGATTTCATGTCTGATATGGGAATAGTTGGCAAGCTTGTTTCAGATGCATGGGAATAATGGTGGAGTAAATCTAGTGTTGCCAACTATGAAAAGTTTCCATAAAGGACATAGATTACCGTCATCGTGTATTTTGTAACTTGAAGGAAAGGACAATATAAAACAATGAAAAATATATCTATACAAGCTAAAATGATATATTAAAACAATCATCATGTGTTTATCATTTAATGTTTATTTTACATTGACCCAAGCAATGTTAAAAAAGTTGTTAGTTCTTTGGCTATTTGAGCCGGGCCAAAGCGAAATTAAAAGAAATAATTAAAAGCTTGCAGATACATAAACGAAGGCGATTTTTTAAGAACGGAACAATATCAAACGCACTACTATAACTATCCGGCCAAATTACGTTGGAAAGAAAGGACAATTAGCATCTTTTCTGAATGCTAAAAAGGACAAGGACAAAAAAGCTTAATTAAAGGATTGTCTATTGAAATAAAGGACGGTTGGCAACCCTAAGTAAATCGCAACCGAACAGCGGGTACGTGAACCGCTTTACGGCGGTCCAGCACTGCCTTCGTACATAATTATATCAATCGGGATTCGAGCCTGGGAGTTCACTCCGGGTAATTGCGGGTTCGATAGCCAGCGTGTTCCTAAGAGTCGGAGCAATGCGCCAAACGCGGAGCCATATCTTGTTTTTCTCAAGTCTGGTTGACATATTTGTAAACTGAACTTGCAATCGAGCAAAAATGTTTAAGAAAAAGTACAGCAAGCTTCAAACTCTAAGTAAATTATGTTGTTAGTTCACATAATGCCGCTGCTGAATTCTTCTACTTGTGATTTATGCACCCACCCCTCAGCTATCTTGTCACATTTGCACATCGTTGCTACGGCAACGCATCGGATATTACGCGAATAATTTATGGTGGTGAGAGTGCTTTTGATGCTAGTAGTAAAAGGGTACATAATACCACAAAATAATTATACGCAAGTCTCGATTACGACGGTCCATTGGTATTCTCACCAGACCATATTTGAAAAAATACTACACCCCTTCCCCGCCCTGCCTACCCAAAAATGAACAGTGGCAGTTTACTAACATACTAAAGGATGTATTTAATCTACTTTATTGTATCTATTTAATGTATCTACTTTTAGCAAATAAACAAAATAAACTCGAGTTCACATACTTCTTGAAATAAAATTTCTACCTCGTAACGATAAGATTCTATTATACGTTGTTTTTCTGCCCCTGCTAAAACATCTCTTTCTCCAAACCAGTCGTGTCGCTAATGAAAGGATTTTGATTTGCCTGTCCATCATACATATCCCTGCGGTCCGAATTACCCCGACCTACTACATCAGGTTAAATTTTCTATTTATTGAAAAGAGAAAAAGAACATGATATAAATGAAAGGATATGGAACGAAATGATATCGAAAAAAGATTAATAAAACTAATATGCAACAATAAAACAGTAAATTAGTGTTTAATAAATAAGGTAAAATCATAAACGTGATAGTGGATATCGATTGGCAATAAGTCTCTGGTTTGGGCAGCCATGTGCTGCAAACTGATTACGCATCAACGCGTGATCTATGTATTTCATCAAGAAATATACATGTGAGTTTCTGTTGCTATTTCAGATTTAACCTTCGTTAGGTAAACTAGTCAGTGGAGCCGTCTCCCGATGATGTTGGAGTATTGTCTTCAATCCAGCCTTCTGACTTTCCTGCAAAAATATAACCGAAAAATGTAACCATAGCGATAAAGTTAAGTGAAGTAGGTTTTTAACTAAATTCGCCCAGAATGATAATCACCAAATATTAACCACAGTTATATACTGATGAGAGATGATATATGAATACTTTTCTTTAATGTTGCCAGTTAACTGCTTTACAGAAACAGCTTGATATTTTAAATCAAGAGGATTGTGAAATGCATGACTAACCAATTTCGGTCCAAATCCAGTCAACAAAATATGTCATTTTCGTGTAAACTCCTGGTTGCTTTGGTTGACCACATTCAATTCCCCAGCTTACACTGCCTGCTAATACCCACGCTTTCCTCGTAGTGTCGTAGCAGGACAATGGGCCACCGGAATCTCCCTAGATTGTCAAAGTAAAAAATAAATAGAATTTATGAGGCAATTGTATTTTATAGGTACATACACAAAGTTGGAGGCTATTGCTGCGGAGGCAATGGTTTTATTCAGTGGCAACTGTTTGCGTATTGGAACAGTTAACTGCCAACAATAACCCAACCCTCGTCTCTTTTAATGCAATCTTCCGGGCGTAGGATAGCCCGAATTTGACACCGTCATTTGCATTATGATAGGTTTATTTTAGGGGTAAATTTAGGCATTGTCCACATGTAGTGAAATTTTATTTATTTCATAATTAGTATTGGTCCTCTATAAAAAAGGACCGCATTCTACTGGATTCCCATCAAACGGCTCTGAGACGTTGCCGAAACGTTCAATTAGTTTGAACTGTGGTAAGAGTTGACATGGGAACGTCACAAAAAAATAAGGTGATAAAACAAGCAGATATTTTCATCATGATAGGGTTCGCACATCACTAATTGGGTGATTAGTGTTGTAGACGTTGTGATTGCAGACATACACTTGTCGAGAGTACCGGTATCAAATATTCGATATTAATCAGGCCAGTCAATGCTGTTGTGACTTTGGGCAGTCTACGCAGATCTTGCAAGTCGAGAAATATTGTATTTCTGTTGTCTATCACATTTGAAGCAGATTGAATCCATTAGGTTTACATATTACTCAAGTCGAATTGTAATAATCGGCGATGTAGTGACCCCCTTTCGAATGATCTAATGGTACTAGATGATGGACAATAACATACAATTTACCTATGAATGATTGCTCAAAAAAGCGATTATACAGTCTAACATACCATCTATGCGTTGAAAAGGGCATAGGTGTCATGATTGTTGATAGCGTCATCATATTGTGGTTTTGTTTAATATTTATTGTATAGTGCTCAAAATGATGCCTATTGGTTTAACATGTTAGTATGATGATACACAATATAAAAAAGGAGAAGATTTCGCGTTATAGAGTACCACAACATACAACAATTCTAATTAAAGCCGCAAAACTGGTTTTAAAAATAGTGCAGCATTGAAGGTTGAAAAAAGGTCAGAAGGAATGTTTATTTTTTGTAAAGATTACAAGAGCCCGGTGGGCGTTAGTCTGCGTTTCCTCAGTTTCGACCTCGCCACAAAAAGATAACAAAGGTTGGAGTAATAGAGATTATAAATTTGTTTACATAAGTTTATCGGTTTTCCAAACTTAAACTTAATCACTATTTAAAAATGGCGGATGTAAACCTTAGCCATATTTATATGCAAATGAAGAGACATTCATGTGAGTTTAAGTCAAACAGGTTTTAGACGTGCAGCAGTTTTCCGATTGTCATTGTAATACTGAGTTTTTTTCTATGTTTTCGACGAAACAATATTTAATATTTGAGTATGTTTATTGGTAATTTTTGTACACAAATACCGCAACAAACCTGTTCACGATTTCTAACTTAGACTATCTTTTTCGATTACTAACCTGACAGGCATCTTTACTTCCATCGTGAGTTCCGGCACAAATCATTCGATCAGTTACTAGTACACCTAACCATTCTTCATGTGTACAAGTTTCTTCTCCAATAATATTTATTTGTGCATGTTGTAAAGTTTTAGGCGCATTTGCTTGACCTATAGAAATAAAAATCACCATATAAAAATGCTTTTGCCACCAATACCTACATTCATGGATGGTATTCAGCAGCATAAAAATATTTTGCGGCTGATGTTATGTATGTATATTAAAATTTACCTGTATTAGTTGTAGCCCCCCATCCACTGATATAACATTTTTTCCCATCTTCAAATTCATCAGTTGAATGCGGAATACATATTGGTTGTACCGTTGGCGTGAACGTCAGTGGAGTCTCAAGCTGTGAAATAAATTTAATTTTCAGGTTCAAATGCACTAGGAACCCTAAACAATAATCGAACAGGTTATATTGGCGGTTATTTTAATCTTTCATTCTCACTCACTTCGTCTACTGTTCAGCAGTACAGGCAAAATAAGAGGCGGTCAATTCTGCTCATTGGGGTATTTTTAAAACCAAGTTTGTATTTCAAATCCAATGTAATTTTAACTGTTACAGAGAAATATAAAAAAAACAATACAATTTACTCTTTATCATTTTTTACAAATTAAATATACAGTATATATAATCTACTATCATGAATCGCAAATCTTAATTTTTTAATTTTCTTGTATTCGTTCATGCATGAAGCATACATACGATCCTGGATGTTATTTTAGATTATCTCGACCAAAATCTCAGAAAATATTACGCGAGTGTCTAAAAATTTGCAAAGAAAGCGAAGTATATTTATCTGACGTTATTTTAATATTACTTATTACATCTGCATTCTTTCAGCGGCTAATATTGCATGCTTTAATTAAGACCATTCGAAGACGAGCTTATCATACCTTCATAAGGCTCACGTCGTAGTCATATGAGAAATCGTTGACATATTGTGGATTTTGAATTATCTTGATTATTTTTGAGCTCTGAGCAGGTGGCTCCGTCTTTTTGGCGATCATTGACATTCCTACGTATGCCGTCCATAAACTAGGGTCAGGGTTACTGTAATATGAATTACAATAATAGATAATAGATAAAATTGAAGATCAGCTTAATCATTTGCCTTCCCTTGAACTACCGAAAAATTAGAATGCAAGGAATAAAATTGAACATTAAAGTGGTTTAAATGCAGGGCTAGACAATTAATTTTTTGAGTGGGCCGGTTTCAGAAAATAGACTTGATCACTGGGCCGGAGGCTCAAAATGAAACTATGAATAAAAACAGTTTATTCACAAAAAAGCAGCACAACAGGTAATGTACAACAAACGTATAGTGTACCAGGGGGTACAATGAATAATGGGACTGATGGAGACTACTTAACGCGCCCAATAGCCTATTTAAATTAGACCCGAGCTGCTTATGCTGATTCCTTAGATCGTTCGTAAGTTTATATACGTCAGAAATCTGTTTTTAATTTGATAATCTTCATACTTTGAAACAATAATTCGAATGGGCGAATATGGGGTGATATATCGTCTTTTTGCACATTATATTCAGGTGCGAATATTGCGTGATGAATAACGGCAGCGGTTTCCAATTTTTTTGTTCGTGCGGCGCCACATTATCAAGAAGGAGAAAATTACCGCGCACTTACAAGAAAAAAATGATGCTTTTAAATAAAACTCAATTTAGTGATCGTTAATGTGTACGTGTACTTCATGCCATTGTTTGTAAACATGTGGGCCAAAAGTATAAACTCAAGAGGTCAAATCTTCTTTCTCATCTCTGCCTGATTTTCCTTCGAAATGCCAAAAAATCACTCATGTTCACTAAACTCGGTTCAGCAGATAAATAAGTACAGCTTGCGAAATTGCAGCAAGTAGTGTCTATCTCTATTGTTGCGTAACAATAGAAGTAGACCCTACATAACACAAAGTAAAATGAATTTATCGATCCATATACAAATCATTAAAAGGCAACTCTCCTCTCTTTCGCGGCACACCTTTTGGGAACCGCTGAATTATTATATTTATTTTGGTTGACGATTCGCTATTTTCTTGATATTTTCAACAGAAATTTATATTCATAAAAACTATATATAGTCGTCATTTCAGCAGGGACAAGTGGGCCGGATGAAACACTTCGGTGGGCCGAATCCGGCCCGATTCCAATACCAAACCTAAGTTAAAAATACACTGAACTCATATTACCAAAATCGAACTCGCCTAAGTTTTAACCGGTTATCAAATTTGATTTACAGTACCATCATTATACACTTACGCGTCTGTACAATGTGCTGCGGTGAGAACCCAATCGTTCAGTATGATCGATCCTCCACATGTCATTCCTCGAAGTTCAACCCACAAACTTGCCTGAAGTAAAATTCATTATAAACCATCGTTTCGAAACAGAAACCAGTAACGTTAGTTTTATATAATACAACAATTGTTTAGTTTTAGGCTTATCATTAGTTACATTCGAATTCGTGAAGTTTGCCTACAAAATGTATAGTTTCTGTTAACATATCACATATTGTTAATAATTAGGATAAGTTGAGATTGAAGTGTGGCATGCAAAATAAAACTGAAAGCATTAAAACGTTCTCGTCTTTGGTGACTTTATAAAAAGAACAAGAATCTGCAGACAAAATACACCGACTTCATGCACATGCAAACAAACAAATTAATAAACCCAGTTATTAGAAAACAAAAGTAATGAATATATATATATTTTTCACATAGTTTATTCCACTACACATAATATCGTTTTGTACAGCGCTGTGGCTAAACTTTGTAGTAATTAAGTAATATAGGATTTCAACAGTGACAAGTAAAACTATTTTATAACCGTACAGCTCGCGACTGACGGGGTTTAAATAAAGAGTAAATAAAAAATACGAAAAAACTGCGAGGTAATTGAATTGAAGAAGAAAAACAAGAATCAGCAAACAACACGTGAAGAGAAGTGAAATAAGCAAGAACTCAATCTTTTGACAGTTGACAATATAGAAACCAAAAAGATGTTGACTTGTTGTCGAGCAGAGAGTTTGAAAAAGATATAATTCTTAATATAAGAACATCAAACGTTTTGTTTTTAAAATCGCATGTCAGCTGTAGTCTAAATTCCCGAATGAATACCAACAGAACTAGACACGATAACAAATTAGCTAACCACACAGGTGACTCAGGAACAAATTTTGATTTGTTTGAATAACGTCTCGTTATTGTGAGTTATTGGGAAATGTGACTTTACTATAATAAGACAAAAGATAAGTGAAGATAGGAATGGTTTTTCTTTCATGACATATAAAATGAAAAACACGACTTCTGAGAAAAGAATAACGAATTCATGTAGTTCATATGATGGAAAGAACGTACTCTCTGTTGCCAGAAGAGGAACTGAGAAAACACATGAAATCGTGAACTACAAATTATTAGCTATGGCCCTTACCGCGTGAAGGTAAACCTGTAACGTGTTTCAAAAAAATGTTATTATATTAGTTTGCAAGCATTGGTACATAAACGTTGCTATGTGAAATAGGGCCAGGTTATGTAAGCCAGCAAGTATACGGACATAAATTAATACAAGAGCCTGCAAAAATATTTTGCAACTAATTGGTTTTATATTCGCAAGTCATCGGGGAACTTATTGGGATATTTATAAACCAATAAAAAGTTTATTCCAATCAATTGGGAAGCTTGATTTATTGACAGACGTTTGACCTTTTATTGCTGCATATTTCCAAGTAAACATCAGTAACTCTTATATAGAAAAATATTAAAAATGATGATATACGACTTCATTATGAAACATACTGAATAGCATTTCCAAAAAGTATGAACATTTATCAAAAAACTATAACTCCAGATATATATATATATCGTTGTTTATTGTATCTAATTCAAATTGATCATGATTGCCTAAATCGGTCATAGGTTGTATCGTTTCGGGTTGCGGATAACAACATGCATTTCCAGGGGAAACGGTTTTTAGCCCCGGGAGCGAGAATTTAAATCACCATCATAACTTGTTTCTACTCGTTTATGCTTCGTTCGTGATTCAAACTCTGTACCTGCCAGGGAAAGCGCATCGCGGTGGTCGGTCGCCCACCATATATTCTTCCTTGTACCATTGAGCCGTCTACTAGTTCTCCGGGTGCTGTATTTTTCTGATTCGTTTTAGAAGGACCGTTTGAAGAGTTCGGGTTTTCCATCTCAAATTCCTGTGTAATATCGTATTTTGGTTTCGACTATTAGCATTTTGTTCAAATTGAATACAAGTGCGTTTAATTGGTCAGAATTTTTCGGAGGCTGATGTTGAAAAAGTATGATTAATTTTTAAATGAAAGTGTAAATGTAAAGAAAAGATTAAAATGCTTTTAGGGTCGATGATATTTTGGTAATTTCTTGGACGGTATACACTGTTATGAATACAAAACAAACAAGTCATGTTTGTAAGCTTTAATACCTTGCAATGCTACAGAATAACATCACATACAAAACTAAATAAACTTTCCATCGATATCAAGGCCGATATCGGTTAAATTCCATACTGAACTGACATGCTGGACGGAATAAAAAATACCACGCCCAGGGCACATAACATATCCATCCTGCAGATGTTTTTCTGTGAACTGCAAAACTTGGGTCTCGTTTTTGACAACAAACTCAAATGACTGTAAATCAGAACACATTTTCTGACAGGGCAAGCTATATTATTCCTCAGTAAATTAAAACAAAATTTAACGGCAATTATATCATTTATTGCCACTTCGGATTGAATTGATATAACTACAACAGAATATAAAACACAAAACATTTATTCACCGCCTTGTTAATAAATGGGCATGTTAAAATCACCATGCAATAAAAATTATCATATTATTGTCGCATGAAAATCAAATATAAATGGTAGCATATTTGTTAGTAGTGTATTCATTTCAAAAGCAAAGCGTTATTCACCTACCTGCCAAGGATATTGTCGAATGTTCGCTCGCATTCCACCGATGATACGCGCTGCTTGTGTAATGTTAATTCGATTGTCATTCTTTGGTGGATGTGAATTTGATAGAGAGTTATCATTTGTTATTGTCCTACTGGAAATTGACAAATATTTTGCTGGATATTTTCCACAGATCGATGCTAAATCACAGAATATGTGCATTAAAAATTTATTAGTTTTATCAAAGGAATATCAATAAGTTTAATAATGAAGAATTTCCACTGCGATTCTTAGAAATTTATAACTTGAGGATTAAGTTATTATGGTTTGGAATGTTTTATTTAGATTTGGTACAATACACTTACTTTGATTTAAAACAGTGGTAACTTTAGGAACATCGGTTTCTGAAAAGAAAATATATATATAATTTTTTCACACTCATGAATCAAATGCTATATTCACTAAACGTTATTATGGTTTATTTATTAATTTATCTCACCTTGCGATTCTGGAACTTTCCCTTGAACAACTGAAAAAAAAATTTTTTTTTTATAAAAAATAATAAAATCAAACAAAACGATGAAAGGCCGAAGCAAAATATTGCCATGGTCATGAATAGCTAGCTAGAAGTGGTAATGAATACATGCTTCCAATCGGCACATGAATGGACAGTGTTGAAGAGGGCTCATTACAACATTCCAGAAAAAATTGACATCGTTTTTAACCTATGAACGACCTATATACCCCGGAATAATTTTTCAGGCACTTTGATGTAAAAAGACGACGACTCTTTCATCTTGAAGCGTGGGAGATGATACGCTTATGGTTAAAAACACTCGTCAAAAGTACTTATTTTGGTTGGTACACATGAACCAACCTCATCAATTAGGCTAGCTATGGCGCTTTGTCGTCTGCGTTTTTTGAAAAAGCGACAATTAGGCACTCGAGATTATGATGTTTTCCGCATTCTGACAATGGTTTCACTTTTTAATTACATTTTATGAAGGGATGTCATTGAATGCTCTTTATTGCAGGTATATTGAAACTGATTTTCTTCCATTTCAAGTCTTAAAATTATGAGTAATACGAAATCTAAGAATTTAGAGAAATTTCAATCTTCAAGGTCATAGATCGGGAAAAACAAGCCCATGAAATGTATTTCTTGAATTTCAAATTTCTATTTCAATTACATTGGTTATACACTACCCAAGTAAGACCCAATCACATCAAAGCATGAGCTAATAACCGGACAAATATAATGTTACAAGATGTTAAGAAATCATGTTACGGTTCATCATAAATGTTTTTCCCCTGCAAACATGCTAAATATTTGTCTGGCAAAAATAGATTTTCGATATCACCAAGATCAATATTAATTTAGCACCGACGAGTGCTAAGCATTCAGAATCGATAAGCTATAATATCTGTTGATAACTGTTAGTGCATTAAAATTGGAATAGTCTAAAATAAAAATGACGGTACAAAATATTTTTCGAAGCCAGCGTTTGATGTTTCTATTTACCGTTATGAATATATAGAATAAGTACGATCTACAATAACACTTCACAACAAGTATGGGAAGATATTTTTTTATTCACTTTATAAATATTTAGGAGTACATTGAGGGAATGATAATAAACGTCCTTGTTATTGTTTAGAATTTTATTTTTTTGAATAACTGGTTTTCAAAAATTGCTCATACAGTTAGACAGAATATTGTTTTATCATTTAAATGTTGTCTGTTATGTCGTCATTTTTCGTCATATGTCGTTACACCAGAGGCGATTTCGAGCATTTAGTGGCAAAACAACCGCATTCAGGCAGATAGATGTATCTGATAACTTGTTCGTGATCCGCAAATGCTATTCGTGATTTCTCGATTGACGGATTACAAACACTGAAAATCGCATTTTGGTCAAAAGTCCACACGAATGTTTATGATTTCATTTTTGATCGTGCAAATGCAAATATGTTTTCTTTATTTTGAGCGAACACAACTTATATGGTTTACACTGTTTTTGCTCCAACAGCAAAAAACAAAACGAAAAAAAAATCGGAAATTTAGCGCACATGAAATAGACTCGAGCTGCTGGGATTTGAGTTCACGTTCTAAGTTATACGTCTTCTACTAAAATAAAAAATTTTGACAATTTATTTATTCACACCTACCTACTCTCGAAGATATGATATGGATGAGAACCATAATAAGACTATTCTTCAAAACAAGTTTGAAGATATTTGCATGTATAACAAACAATTTTAGATAGCTCATTCGAACACTAAAGTCATTACTAATAATCCCCTATTACTCCGAGACGGATACCGTCTGGTTTTAGTTTGCAATATCCTGGTGAAGTATATGATACCAACACTGCTTTGACATACCGGCGTCCAGATTTTGAAAATGATCACTTTATTTCATTTACGGATATGTGTTTTTCATCGCGTTCATGAACAAAATAATATTTCACATTTGCTACACAATTTTAATTAATCCTAAATTTTCAATCGACACCGCTATGATATCAATTACCCCAGGAGGATTGTTTTGGATTTAACGAACCCTACAAACAGCGCACTTTGAACTAGTATTTCCTGCTTGCTATATGTACGGGGAAATTACTTTTTTTAATGTCGCGTCTGCAAACGCCATTGAATTTTAATCGTGTAAACAGACTTTGCTCACATAATAGCACTAATTTTAAATTTGTTTATTTGGTTTCGAAAAATAATTTGTATAATTCATTAGTATCTAAGTGTATTGATTCTGTCTGCAGCATATATCTCATTTGTAGCGAAGTTAAAATGAAGTACACAACAAATTGCTGCCAATTGATTAATAATCGACGTTCCATTAGGACAGCTTATTATATTTCTCTAAGTTTCGGGTCGGAATTGGAGCGATCACAGATACGAAACGAAAATTATGAAAACGTGCTTTATCAATATTTCCGTACACTCGTTGCTATGAAAGTTGGTATGGAACTGTTGACATTCGTTTGATAAACATAGAATGATACTCACGGAAATATATTAATCCTGATAAAAGAGACAAAATGACAACAAAAAGCACCACGAGTAATGCTACCATTCCCTTGCTGAGCGTCCCGCAACATTTTCTCTTCGCCTTGATGGCTGACTTGTAACTGTAATTTCCAGGCTGTTCAATTTGATGATTGCAATGTTCGTCATCTTCGTTAGGATTTTCAACGTTATTATTTCGATTAACGTTATTATGTATTCCAGATACATGTATAGTTTGCAAGTTTCTTTCATTTAATAACACTCTGGAATGAAGTGGGCGATCCTTTTTTGGAGCACCATCCGCCCACGCTGGACATGAGGCCGTTTTTAGCACACTAAGTCTTGGCGAATTTCGCACGTTTCGCGTGGTTATGGCCGCATGTACAGGGTTTCCAACAAGTTCGTTTGCAGGTTGTCCATTTATAACAATTGTATGATGGTGGTGGTGGAGATGAGTGTGATGACAGGAACACTTACAGCTTTTATTATTGTCAAAAGAACTTTGTTTGTTTGTTGTTTGTGAATGCTGTGTGGCAGAAACATTTTGTTTTTCAGCATCAGGGTTTGAAGAATCTGGCATCGTTTTTTTGGGCATGGGATAGTGTGAAACTTCAATTTCTGGTCCCATTGTAAGATCACATATAGGAACACAACTCGATACAACGCGATCTACACCATTGCTGTCGTCATATGACAAATTATCCGCCGCTCCGATTTCTGACAACACAGGACATTCTGTGATATTTTGCACTTCCGGTAAATTATTTCCTATATTAGTTCGGGAGGTATGGTTTGCTTGACCCTCCATCGTGGGAGAATCCTGAAATGTTTTGTTGGTCAAGTCAAATCCACCAGAAGAAATACGCGATTCCCCTTCCATGTTTATGCGTTATGATTTCTATATGAATGCAGTTGTTAATTGTTTATTTATCAGACAAGTCTACATATTCAATACCTGACAATAAAGTATATAGAAATATTATACTGAGGAAGTTTGAAATTAAAATTTTCATACACAGGAAAGTAATTACAATCGACAGAAATACCGAGCGTCTGCAGCAAGATTTTGGAAGTCGAATCTCCGACGAAAGTTTGAGAGTAATAAAAGGAAATTTTTTGACTTTAATCTACCGCGCCTTTGCCATCAGTATAAAAGTTATTTAAGCAAAATACTAGGTGATGACAGGGGCGACCATCAATAGTTGCATCATCAGTTTCGAGCAAACGGTGGTCAATTCTCGATGACACTGAAATATAAACTTTAAATTCGGAAACATTTCTCATGAGTTATCTGTTTCAATTTTGATATCCTCTCATATTCTGCGAATGATGCACGATATAATGTTGTTCATTCAACATCTAACTTCTGTCTCTTTTTCATCATAATGCATTAAAAATTACAGTTCCTGATATTTATATTTTCAACTGAGTCTAAGAGAAAGTTTGGTGGTCGCCATAACTGATACAGAGCAATTTCGAACTGACTGAACAGGCTAAACTGACACCATGAGTGTTGTTAGTTAATCTGTTTCTGGTGCTATATTCATAACCTCATTTGTCTCCGCTGATTACATATGTGAGATGCCTGTAACTAGAAAGCAACACTATTAAGGCTCAATGCACCCGAGGCAAAATAGCAGCAAGATTAACCTTATAATCATTGCAACAAAACGTGACTTGTGTGTCGTTTTCCACATTAAGACAAAATAATGATCGACTGGAAACTGTGGCAAGACATTGTTTCATTTTTTTCTAATTTAAGCAATTATCTTATGTCAACAGTCTGGATAAAACTAACCCAATACGGTATTTGTATTTTATAGTCTATTCAAGCTTGGGACTATACTAATTGAACTTCCTATTTGAAATTTCTCTATTATTCGTGGAAATATGAGATAAATAGTGAAAAACTAGTCGAGGTGTCTATTTGTATTTTATAGTCTATTCAAGCTTGGGACTATACTAATTAAACTTCATATTTGAAATTTCTCTGTTTTTCGTGGAAATGTGAGGTAAATAGTGAAAAAACTAGTCGAGGTGTCTCGAATCTTGCTATTTTTTTGTTCGCATCGAATAAAAGACGAAATATTTGTTGCACGTATATAAATACTTAATTGATTAGAATAAATGATTAGCCATCCTGATTGAGTAGGCCGACTCAGAAGTATTTACTGTATTTAGTAGATATCGTTTTTGTTTCTTGCGATTAAATGTCGTTTTTGTATAATAGAATAAAAGACCCATATTCACCCCCTCAATGTCCACAATTTTAATTCAAGAGTGACTGAAACCTTCTAATTCGTCAGATCTGATTTAAACTACCTGACAAAAATTTCAATGATATTTTCACCATGATACCCCATATTGTGAAATTTACAAATCTAGAATTTTGACTTATCCTCATAAAATATATCTCTAGAAGGTACATAGCTGCAAAAGGACTCACAAGACCGCTCTTAAAATACCATTGGTCCAGCTTTTGTCCGCGTTCCGGAAATCAGCATCTAGTTCTGCCTGTGTATTTTCATTTCAGCGCTCACGTGCTGTGCGAATAATCTGAAACCGAGTTTCATCGAAAGCTCAATCTTATATTGCGTCTCGTTTTATCATACCAAGTATTGCTGATACCAGAAAAACAAGATACAATGAACTCTGAGAAACTCATCTAACAAATTACCATTGTAATTGCTGTTTTATTGCCAAGCAATACACTTGCCTTGTCTATATATATAACTACTCATTCTAGCCTCCCCAAATATAATAATATCGGTATCCTATTACTGTAAAATTCAGTGAAATATGTATAACATTACACTTCTGCGATTGTGATATTCTGAAATTACTTGTTGACTATAACTTAAACACTTAATTAATACATATATATACAAGGTAAATGAGGATTTCTCATGACAGAACAACGGTCTGAATAGTTGTCGATACAGCAAGCTGCTCAGCGCTCGTCTAAACGCATCGCGTTAGCCGACCTATTTCATCCGAGCGTGGTCTGAGCTCATCAAATGAAAGAGTCATACTTCGTGTGGGAAATGACGTGCGTCGGAAATATGAACGTGCTTACTGAGTATGACATATTCTGTCCCTAATGGTGCTGTGCTCAGCTGATCAGTGAGTACCAAATCGATGTTCACTACAACTGGCTCCTGCTACATATCTGTGATCTGTTATTTCGTCCATACCTAAAATAAGTCATACAGTATAAAAAAAACATTACTAATGGACGTATAGGGAAGTAACCAGAATCGATCGATATGCATACTACGGGGCAGTACAATCAATCACTTTAATAAATTTATGTGACGTTTGACTTTAGATAGGTTTTCATACCAAAGCGTACTGAAATTGAATTTTGGGTGTGCTACTTTTTGTTGATTGTATATATTCCTTATAGATGTGAAGCAGGGAAAAAAATAGTCTAAATAAAATATATCACTTTGACATACTTCTGATATTAAATATTAAGGTTTGCAGCACTGCAGCTCACATGACTTCTGTTCAGATACTGAGAAAAAAATGAGTGAAACTTGTGTAAATCAGTGCTTATGAAACGTCTTTACCCTGGTGCGATTTATTTTGCAACTTGTTTTCTATATCGTAAACACTTTCATGACATGTAAAACATAATCTTTCACAGTACCGATACCCTACCGTAGTCTTTCCGACTACAACTGACTACTAAATCGCAACGAAAGTGGAACCGTCACAAAGCGCACAATTTTCAATTTTGATGACGTCATTACACACACTCGCGATAGGCACAATCTTTAACCACTGAAAAAGCAACTGGTCCAGTAGAGAAAGAGAAAAGCACAACAACAACAAAAAGAAAATACAAACATCAAAATGATAACGAAACAATCCATAGGTCCATTTCGTGTCCAATAACTTTATTATTTCCATAATAGATATTGCTAACGAAATTCCAAGTTTTAATAAATGAAGGTTAAGTACTTTTGAAGTTTCAACGCTGCTTCTCAAATATATTTGCCAGTTGGTATTGTTTTCAAGAAATGCGGTTAAGCCTCCGAGATCATGAACTGGTTCTCAATAAGAGGTATTAAATAACGCGGGAATTCAGGAAATACCAACTGATGACTAGAAAATTGTTTCTGTTCTACAAAACTGTAACTCAATGGAAAGGCTTGCTGATCTTGCAGTTCAGAGTTGCGACATGAACATGATGAACAAATGTCAGATAGTTTTTATATTTACATATATATGTGTTTTACGGTTGCCATCGGGTTATGTGTAAGATTACAAACTTCTAGAACAATACTATACTATGAGATTCCATGAGAAATAAGTGGAACCACTTTAAACAGCCACTGATATATCAGCACGGTGATAGCAAATATTAACAAGAGAGCTATGCTCAAATATATGGACACGTAGCGCTTCCAGTGGCAGTAATTTTGATGACGTCATAGCGAAAAAAAAGTAATAGCCTTCTGGAGAAAAATTTTATCTTTAACCACTGAAAATATCAAAGCAATTGGTCCAGTATTCGAAGAGAAAAGCGATTTTTTTAAAATGGAGACGGAGACAAATACCAATAACAATAACAACAAAATTTTGAAACGATCGTTCGATCGTTATACATAAACGTGTCCAATAAGTATTCAAGTAATCTTAAGCCTTTAAACTCGCATAATTTATGCGAAGACTGGTTATAGCGCAATAGCAGAAAATCCTGATTCGGTATGCCTGATGTTTTGTGAAGAGACGCAATTCAGATTAGTTGTATCTAAACGTTAAATAAACTGTTATGAGATGAAATGGGTTGTGAGAATTTCCCCCAAACTCTATATTGTCTGTTCTTCTTATAGAATTGAGCAATTCATGACACTGACGAAAAGCGGGACTTTACCTAAACGTTTGTTTCGGTTTGGTATATGCAGACTTGAAATCTTCCCTGTTGTTAGCTGTTTGCTGGTCTCTTGTAAAAACCTACAACCAGATGTTCATACGGACGCCGAAATATTCGGTATCGTATATATATATACTGGTAATATAATATAAGTCCACTGCATGCACAGGACTGGGATTTCAGTCAGTAATATATAAATATGTGTTAATTCCTATCTCTATCAGTTGTGGTACTGGCAGACCAGTACCACATCGGCACGAGATGGAAAAAACAAACAAATTCAAATTTAAGGCTACAAATAGTAGAAATAAAAGTTTTTTCAACTCTAGCGCTGAACAAAACGTCAAATACTAATACTACTAATAGGGGAAGGTGGGGCACGTTGGGACATGGGGCACAGAGAAAAACAGCTCTCACACTGATACTATATACGCAATCCTGTCCGCTGTTTGATATAATAAGTGCTTAGAGACCTAGAGATGCGTTATATTTTGTGTAATATTATGGTTTCTTTCGACCCATGGCCCAATATGGAATATATTCGAAAATCAATAATATTTCCAAATTTAGATTCAAGGAAGAAAAATAATCAAATTTGTTTGCGAAATTTTTTGTCAAAATATATGACCTATTTCAGTTGAACATTGATTTTGAAAATATTAAATCTTCAAATTTGAAGTCTTCCTGTTCTTTAGACGATTATGCTGATTGATTGCTCATTTTTAAGGGCATACTTCGTTGAATTTTTGACACACTGACCCATTGTGCTCCAGGGTCTGTCCGAATGTGCCCCACAAGTGGGGTACAGTGGGACACTTGACAGACGTTTTTCAAAGCATTTTGGTAGGAAGATGTGAGTTGCAAGGGAATTTCTTAGTCGCTGAATAAAAACTACATTCACCGCTCTATGCATTATTCCCGCAAACTTGAGTGAATATGCAGATTTAACGGCTCAAAATATGCAAAAGAAAAAAGTGTCCCAACCTTCCCCTACTACTACTAGAATTATCTAAGACGGGCAGTAAGTAGCTAAAAATAGCTATGGTCTTAATGTGCTATTTGGTCTTTAATGCGATATGCGGAACATCGGTTGAAGATTAATGCATTAAACATTCGCTGTGTACTTTTTTGCATATTTCAACTCTTTTCCAAACTAAAAACAACCAAATCAACAATTGACAGACGAATACAAATAACATTATGTGAAGTAGAAAACCCCATTAATTATAAGTTAATTAGGGTAATCAAAGTGCTATTAAAGACAGAATGCAATAGACATGATTGGATTTAGCCGGACAAACCAAAACATAGTACATGAGGCCTCGAGTCCCTACATTTGATGACTGATGGATCTCTCTTCCGTGGTTTAGTCTACTATACTAGAAATCGACGTCTCATTCGTAGACAGAGATTTACACAGCACCGATATTTTTGGGAACCTATACCAATTCTCAAGCATCACCGGATAACTTTCAATCTTTCAACATTAACTTGACCGCACTCCCTGAATGTCTGGTTTACTCGTTCACATTGAAAATAGCCTTTTGTGTGGTACCGTGTATTGCAGTGGTATCCAACCGTTCTTCTTTCGTGAATCATTTTGCTGCACAAAAATTCTGTGGCGTATCAACTTTCTCGTGCAAGGAAAAAAAAATTACAAGAAAAACAAAAATCCTTTTTGCAAAAATAGACACTTTTACTTCAATAATTACGATGTAAATTACCATTCAATAGCAAAAAACAACATCACCATTCATTGCTACTACAATCAATATAAATAAATATTTCAAATAGTTTTGTAGCCCACCTGACAATGTTCTTGTTACCCAGAACTATGTATATATGCGCTGCGGCAATACAAAGGTGCATTTTTTTGAAAATTGAGTTTTGCATGTTCTTGTATGGAATTCTGCCGTGTTCATATATAGCAATTGAAATGGATGTTGTTACCTTGCTGGCCTCTCAAGGTCAATGCTAACTTTTCTACGTAGGTGAATTGCTTTGACCAGTTATCTAAAAGAATTGAGGTTTGAGCTCGACACAAATTTGAAAGTAATTTCGAATATGTTTTATACCATTTACAGAATATGGCCATTTTTACCCTAAATACGAATAAATTTATTGATCAAAATCACTGTTCAATGTTATTACATTCACATACTGGTGAAAATATATCTGGTAGTATGTAAACATTGTCGAACATAAGTTGTTTTGCATGAGAAAAACGGTCCAACCATGCTCTTCAACTGGATCTTGGAACGTAATGCCTCAGCTATTGCACAAAATGAAGGACTACATTTCACACAAAAACGCACGTCATATTCGATACAACCCTACCAAGTTAAAACAAGTAATTGTGACCGGAAGTCATTCACAGTAGGCTAGTATATAATGAGATACGGATCCGAATTTTAGATGAAGTATATCTGGTATGATAGCGACGCCTAACTTTGACTTGGTGTCCGGTGATTGGCCGCGTCGTCACGCTGGCTGGTTTCGCTTTGGTTTCAAAATTTTGATTACACACTTTTAGCTGCAGCAAGACACACATCTCAAACGCGAGATCGCGCCTCAAAAAAGAATTTATCCTAATCTTTTCCTAATTTGAGGTCAAGTTATTTTACCGTATTTTTTCGATTCGTATATTTGTGTATACAGTATATTTAACTTAATGGTATAGTATATGAACAGAGCAATAATTTTACTAGTTATTAACAGAGACTGCGCAGTAGACTTCTGAGGAAACTCAGTGTCGACACAACTCGGACTCCTTGAGAAGCAACTTCACACTGTATAGCTTAATGTGCTATCAACGTCTATTTGAGTCATGTTCAGCGTCACGATCCTCTTCATTGTCGCAGACGACGGCTGTGGTATATATATGAAGGTGAGCACAACTGCGGACTGCCGGTCATTTTAAGTTTTTTAATGAAAGAGTCCAATCGTCGTTTGATAAATTAAAACACCATTCGTGATTAGTGGATAATAGTAAAGTAAATCATGTTCGTGAATAGTGTAGTAGTTGTCCAGCATACGGCGTTTATGACGCTTATCGTGCCTTAATACTGTCATTTACCATGAGACAACTTGTTTCACGCGATTGTACTCACTCATGGAATGACATGATCTCTAGCTGTCGCTATTGAGATTATAATGTGTCCGTCATACCTTAGCCTTCCTGCGGATATTTGTATATTGGCTGGGCACGAATAATTCTGTGGTTTAATGTATGAAAATTACATGAATGATACTTGGAGACATGTGTGTGCAGGGAGTAAAAAATCAAATAGTTTGAAAGTCTATGTGCATGGAAGATGAAATGACTGGACGAATAGGGATGTGTCCTTGTGTATGAGAAGATAGCTCATATAAATCTAATGCTCAATACAACATGGTTAAATAATGACACATTACAATTCCATGCTATACGGGGAAGATCATTCTCATTGTTCAAGTATCAGAACTGTGTATGCTTTTAAAGTAACACTACATATATCTTCCAATCGATTGCCGGCCACTTTAAATTATTGAAGTGCTTTGAGGATAAGATTTTACTCGCTCAATGCCACTTATAAAAGTCAAAATCTCAAATTTTCATGCGAAATTACTGAACAATCTCCTCCATTGGGGGATTAAGTCAATTATCGGTTACAGCTGAATGACAACGAAACATTAACAGACTAGTTGTTTGGTTGTAATTGTAAATTTACGTGCACATTTTGTTCAGTAAATTTGTTTTCGTAAACCCTGTAACATGAAACGAGGAGAGAGTTACACACGTGATAAAAATCTCACAAAATACAGTCAAGCTATCCAATGATTTGCCAATGAAAATTGACAAAGATTTGTTTAGGGTATTGCAGTTAGAGCAATTTTCTAATCAATAACAAACAAAATAATTATGTTGTCACCATCCTAGTCATGTTTCAAATAAATTTGCCCTCATAATGTAATTGTGAGATATAATGCTAAGTTTTATGACACATTAAAAAAGGTTCTAAATTTTGAAATTTTTGTATTTTTAAAGGGTAGTTTGCTATCTATGTTTGCATATTATGATTCATAAATTATTACAAGATAACATCCGTTTGACTAATGGCGCGATATTGTAGATTGGTCCATCTTACTCAAGCACCTCACAAAGAAGAATAGTTATATTATTAGTGCCCGAAATATATTTTTTTCGTTTCTAAATTAACTATATCTCTACACTAAATGACTACTTCTTCAGAGCTTTGTACATAGTGAAAATGAATATTGCCAGTTGATAATCGTTAAAAAAAACTCTCAGAGTGATGATTTTCCCACTGTTGCACGTCCTAATGTATCTATCTGCTGGCAGTGCGGCGCTTAGCTGCATCCCAATGAAAGTATATTTGAAAGTGAGCCAATTAAACCGGTGTTATCGACTTTTGGGATGAAGCCCATTAACACATGAATGACCTGAAATTACGTCACTTGCTTGGATTCCCACGTGAAGCATTCATTTTACAACAAATCTATCCGTCTTCTAACATGGCCAGCAAGCTATCCGCGGTGAAAAAAATAGTACGGGAATCCCTCAAAATAAAAAAATAATTTTTCCAAATTTATCTGATCGGATATGGCCCAAAGCAACAACACATTATGAGGACGCAGAGTATATTTGACTCATTTTTGGATTGATATTCTAATATCGTATTTTTCAATTGAGCGTGATTGAACGGGGCAAAAATGTATATATATATATATATATACTGATGTGCCAGGAACAAGATGTGTATCAGTTGACAAAACAATATAAGTGATAGATATGGCGGTGTTACGATTCCCATGGGAGACAATTCCTGCGAAATGAATTATCCCACCCCATTAAAATTGTCTTTATCATAAGCCAGAACAAATTGAATATAAACCATTGTGCAACGACGCAAGAGATATTTTATTATTTTACCTAAATTTAAAATTAGTTGCTTATTATCGCTTGGCGAGTAGTATAGAGTGAAATCCATTATGACCATCCATTATAAGATGAATTGACCTAATAAAATATTAAAGCAAAACTTATTACTTGAGATTTCTGACTGAATCAATTCTCAATTGTTACTTACGTTTACAGAAACGAATGTTTTGTGCTGTGATGTCACAAATAACCATCAAAGTTTCGTGAATTATATTAAAAAGATACTCATTATTCTACAAATTAGAGACATCTATCGCTAGGAAAGTGATTGTGATGAATTTTGACTGAAAACTAAGATGACTAATAGCTACAAAAAGTTCTATATATTAAAAGTAAAAAGCACTTTTCTAGTAATCGTCAAAGCAATACCGTTGTAATCAATAGTCATTTACTTTGTGATAAATATTTATATAAACAGATTACCACCATAAAAAAAGAAAACTACATTCATGGCGCTACGTTCATTAATTCGTAATGAGGCCTGCGCCAGCATGTTAATGCTTGAACATGTTGTTCTTGAACTTGTCGAAACATACGTTAAAATACACAAGAGGATGAAACGGTATTCACATTTGGGTTTGCATTTGTTCCTAGAGTTATTCGCATATCAGAAAAACCCTAAGAATTAAATTTGATCTCTTGGTCATTATTTTTGTTTAATAAACGCAAATTTCAGGCAATTTTGTGACTAATATTCGGATGTGACCCACAAATTCAATTTGAAAAGATAGATCATTTTCTTGCAAATGTACAATCTTCCGAAAATGTAATAACATATGTATGCATTCAAATTCATTTCACATCAACGTATTTTTTTTGACGATTATTAAATTTTTAGTTGCGACATTATTTAATCAGATGCGTCCCATATTATGCTTCCTTATTTTTATGAGAAATCCTGAAATTTCTGAAATTTTTCTGAAAAATCTATATAAATTTATTTTTTATATCTCATATACTCAATTGCTATACTACGTATTAGCTTACGAATAAGTAATATTACTTTATTTGCATGCTCGTTAAATAGTACTTTATTGAAAAAAAAAATCAAATATGTTTGTAGATAATAAATATACCGAATCAGAATGCATAAATTACAATAGAAACATATATGATAGAACAGACCGAAAACAACGAAAATATTGAAGGCTAAGGACTTTGAATTTTGAGTCACCAAATGGAATGGCCGAACTACTGATACTTCATATATATATCAAAGAATATCAAGTCTTAAAAATCATATTCTCCGCCATATTTTAAATTTCTTGCTTACAAGCAGTGTTTTTAAATCATAACAATATTTCAATCATGCAGTAACGTTAATATGTATAGGTTAAAGCCAAATAGGATTTTCGAATTCTATATAATTTTTGATACATTGTTACGTATTTAAGTCTATATGTTTATGGTGTGCGATACATTTGATTTATTGATCTTAAATGAATAATAAAAAGTTAAATTTTTTACAAACAATATAGGCAAGTAATGAAATACAATCAAGAGAGAAAATTTTAATATACGTTTTCTTTGCTAAAAACATCATTTTATTTTGTTGGAAAAATAATGCAAGTTCTCGGGTTATATGATATATAAGGGGGCATCGTATTGAATTCCACCGTCTCTTGTTTGACGATTTAAGCCGGAAATTAGTTCTTGTAGTCGAACTGAATTTTCCGTTGTGTCATCCTTGTATTGATCTAACTTAGTGTTAGGGTTTTCTGGCATTGACGGCATCACACGACGAACGAAGGCGTGTGGAGTACGTGGACCTAAAAAGAAATAAGTGCGTGTTAATAATAAATGGTAACTTGTGAACGAGTAGTAAAACAATCGTAGTGAATTACGGTGATTACAATATATGAATTATTTACTCGTGATTGCAAACGCAATAGTGTTTGAATTATCATGCAAAAATATGCCCTTAGTGGTGTATAAAACATACTTAATTTATGTAATATATGTACACAAAATATTTTTATGTGACGCATTAACAATTCGAAGGAACGTTCTCATATCGGGTCGAAGCATTTGAACACCAAACGCGTTATAGGCACCATTTTTTATTTATTTTAAACAGTTAAAGGCACCATTAAAATAAATAAAAAATAAAAAACATCTGTTCATACTCACCACAAACATGTTTCCACATAGCATACGATAGTCTTGAATACAACTCAACACATCTTCTTTGTGACGCCATATTTCTTTCACGTATATGGTTTTCATATTCTGGAAAATAGAGAATAATTCATGAAATTAATTATTATTATCACCTTATTTAATTTTCATAAATTAAGAAATATATATTGTAGCAGAACATTTTCTCATTTTAGATACGTACCTGAAGATGTTAGTCTCGAAGGTGCAGAATAAGCCTTTGCAAAAATGAAATACAAAACACACAAAGTCATTATGCTGTGTACGGCTCGATACATTTTAATTACTGTTATCTTCAAATAAAATTTTAATTTATACTGTCGTATTTTACCTGTAAATAAAATAACAATTTATTTGATTTGATTGATTATTTTTGAAATTCCCTGTACTGTATATTTACAATTGAAACATAAAACTCTCTAATCATACAATCACATGGCGAACCACGGCCTCTCGTCCTGTTACCAGTCCATAACGGATAAGGGATTAGTTAGCGAGTTAATTTTAATTTCAAATGCATGGACTTGATGGTGGAGGAAGTCGTAACCGACCAGCGATTCACCTGCGTGAATCATCCTACGACGGCGAGAAGTCCAGCAATCCTCTCACACATAATTATCTCCCACGGGATTCGAACCTGCGAACCCACGCGGGTAATTAGCGGTGATGTGGCGAGCGTTTATGACTCATTTTGGTGTTTCTTTGGTTAGGTCATTTAAATCGGGGGGTGTTTAATCATACAGATTCCAACATGACGAGGCTTAAATCCCCTACTGTAAGCTTACATTGCACAGATTGCAAATTCAATCAGGCAATGCTTGAAAACTCAAGCATGAAATTATAATACGATCGGGTCGTCTTTCCTATGTGAAAAAGTTTTTGAAATAGTATACATAATATTATACAAAAACATCTATTGGGTAATCTTTTTTAATTTAGATATGCTTATTCCTTAATACACTCATATGAAATATGGCTTATATATATCGTCAAAAATGGATGTGACTATGAACGAAATATTACCAAACGTATAATCTCGAAGCTGCAATTTGATTTCTTCTGTTTGTGATTTGATCAGAATCTAAAGCTATTACAATATCGTATGAGATGTGTCATAAATTAATAATGAAGAAGTATTCAAAATAAGCGAAATTGATACTTGAAACGAATAGTCATAGTTCATTAAAACAAAACCATAATTTCGACACATGAAACAAATGTATTATCGTTACGTTGGACCTGATTATTTACCTATCTCAGTTTTTGGAGTTATTTATTCTTAACGTTAACAGACTAATCTTTCTACTCTAATAACGATTTTATATTTAGAATCAGGTATTTGTATATATAATTTGAATTTATCCGGAACAGTTTACACAAACACTGTGAGAAACCCCTCAACTATTGCCTGTCCAACTTTCTAACTGTATCGCTGACCAACTCAACAGAAAATAAGCAATGCGCTTTTTTTCGCAAGGCACATTTGTCAGTAAGTCAGGATTTTTTTTATCTTGACTAAGAGTGAATGTATAATGTCCTAAACTTTAAACTAATTTTCGCGTTTCATCAAGAATGTTGTAAATGTTTTAATAACTCTTTGGTGACATGAACAGATGGCTTGAGTAAACAATTTTTTTTGTAATTAAAAAGTGAAAAAACTTAGTTTAAAGTTTAAACCATAATACAAATAACTGTTAGTTACTTAAATATATCCAGAAACGTATGCCTGACAGTGCGTTAGTATCTGCGTCGTGAATAATTATCGTCGTATGGTCATGGTATTTTTATTACAGAATACGTCTGCTTTAAATATTTCAACTCGGATGAAGTCAAATCCAGCAGGATCGTTGCAGCAGATATTTTTTGTTCCATAATTCGACATGTTCTCGAGGGATTGCATTACAGCTATTTTAATGCTACGAATGTCTCAACCGAACATGATATGCTATGCTCGCGTGATCGAAAAGTTTTAAGTAACGGCCTTTTACTATATATATTAAATACGTGTGCGTTCGTTTCAAATATCACAATATTTCTTCCAATATACGGTTGTGAGTATAAAGTTTTTACGATTGTTTAAGAAAATCTAGAGATTATTATCATTTTTTATTTAAGATCGATAAATTAATCGATCTAGAAAACATCAATCGAAATCGAATAATTTTTAAATGCGTTTCACATCACCTTCAGCATGATCAGAATATCATACAGTGAAGACATAAATAACAACAAGGACACATGCTGTAAAACTCGTGTTCCGAATATGTTGAAACAACCATGGCAACCAGACCAGGGCAACCCGATCCGGATTACAGAGAACCCGAGCGCTCTTGTTCAAAAAATGTCTGCATACTTTATCGCAAAAGTTTTTATGAATCACAAAAGCAATTCTTACACATTTCATCCTACTTATACCATAATTCAACTCACTATATCTTGCTATCTATGCAGAAAATACCTTGAAATGTTCGTTACCGGAAAGCATTGTTTGAGCTTGTAGAAGTTTCGGTATCATGGCTAGAAAAATACAATAACAGTCTGGATTTCAAACTACTTTTTTTAACATTTTCTTCTTTATTCTAATCATTTGTTCGAAACATTTAACGACTTGCCATCTTTTAAATATAGTACTGAATAATACTATTAAAGACATAGGAGCTATTCTTGTAACCGCTAAATCATAAGACGAACTGATACAAGATCTTCTGGTACGTGTGAAAATCCGAGTTTCCGTTTTTTATATCTTTTATTTTCCCTGTAAATCCATATCATGCTTAGCATCACATCCGTTTTCACGGCATATTCATTCACAATACCGCAATCTAGATCAGTCTATGATTTTGATAAGATAGAAGTCGACAAGGAAATTTATGAATTATTTAGTTGACTTTATTGCTGCGATAATAAAACTTTTGACACATTTGGAGATACATAAATCATGAAACAGATTTAATCTATCGAGTCGATCTACAATTTGAAGATCCAAGTTTCCAGAAATAAATGCGTAGTTAAAGTATGCATATTTTATCAGTAATATATAATATATAAGAATCATTTTTTTCTATAACAATATTCCGTAAATTTTATAATTTTATTCCAATTTGAATTGGACAGAAATTGGACGTACAAGAAAGAAAACAAATTTGTGGACTTATTATTCTAGTGCTGATGAGTTTTAATTTATACAATGTTGAATTATTTCCCACTTTGACAAAACTGAAATTTTTCTTCGGGATTTTTTCAATATTATTTTATAACAGTACAAACTTTGTTTCTTTGATCAAAAAGGTGCCGTGAACAAATTTAGTAATGTAACGTCTAGCGTAAATGAGGTACAGTATCCTGCTATGCTCGCCTGTCTTCAGTGCTTCAAGGCACAATTCATCTACCGAATTACCTGTCTGCTATATATATTTCCATTTTTGGGTTAAGAAAAAATTACCAAAGAAATAAAACAAAAATAAAATATAACTTACAATATCAACATAACTAAATATGAAACTACATTCTATATTGAACCTACAAGAACGCTAATAATTTTGATTTCACAACTCCAAAATGTGTTTGTTCTATTCTGATAATGTAATAGAGACTCATTTGAATCTCCTAGCTGTTGACAGTCTTTTATATCCAAACCTGACCTGCAAAAAATACAAACTTTTTCGCATTTTGTCCACTGAATACAGATTTTAGATGACGTCAACAGCGACTTCGCCTTTGAGACTTTATGACGCCCTCTGCGGTGCCATGCATCCATTTCTTCCGTTCGAACATATAGGCACCAAACGATTATCGAATACTTAAAAGCACCGGCGGAGGAAACATCAATAAATAAACAGAGCGTTGTTAGCGATAAATTATAAAAATGACTTTCGTAACAAGATAGCAAAATAAAAATATCCATCTAATGTGTATGAATCAAAGATGATAAAAGTTTACTAATTATGCAACATTAAAACTTGGAATATTTATGATCAATTTTTGTTGCAACTTTACGTCAGTATGGGGTTTTTCTTGTGAAAAGCATTTATTGATTGCATGGGAATGAATATCGTTTACTGTATTCATATACGCTTTGGCATAAATGAGTTATCAACATAATAAAAACTTCGATATATAGATTTTTTAAATGGACTTTTGGAAAGGTTATATTGTACTCATTGTTTATGAAAGCACCTTCATTTCCCACTATGTTTAGGTCATGCAATTAGATGGTGTTATTCATATTACATTAAATAGGAGTGTCATCTCATTTCAGAAAATATATTTATATTATTAAACCATTAGAATTGGTTTTGACTTAATGAAAATATTTTATTCATTTTCTGATAGTATAAGATCATATTAACTATGTGGTGCGCTCTGAGATGAGACGTAATAAATCAAATTAGGTGCATTAAAATCGAAACATTGTTAAATTTACGTGCAACGCAGAGATCGTAAAATGAATTATTACCAAAGCATTTAATTTTTGGTCAAAATGGCAGAAGTCCATAGGGACAGTTGTCGATAGCACTTGGCAAAAATTAGTCGCCGACCATTCGAAATGATTTCCGTTTCTCCTAAATCCACTCTAAAATCATTAATCGCATCTATTCTTGGTTTCGGAGAATCAACCTTTCAAAATTTGTGAATCACGAATATTCGATTCTACGATCAATATTACTGTCGCGTTAACAAGTTTTTCCATGGTAAATTACAATGGGCGAACGATTACAATATAAGCATTTCAAAGTCTTTGTTGTCCCTGATCTTCTAATTAAAGATTGTTGGAAATTTTTTATATTTTATGAATAGGAATATTTACATTTCATTCTATCTTATCACACGTCAGACTTTCATTTCATGTACATCTCTGTATTCATGAGATGAAAAGCGTTTTTTCGTGTCTTAGTTATTTTACTTATGGAAACACATATGACACTATAAAGTAAAACTATGACAATAAATTTTGGCTGTGGAACTATATGGCCAAATTGAATAATTATATCCAGTCCTGGAAAACCATTAATAAAAAAAATGTGAAAAAGATATACGTTTTTGTATGGAAGAAAACTATCGATACGCGAAACTGTTTATATATAGGATGGCACATAAACCACTTATTGCATTTAATTAGATAAGATGTTATTTGGCGTTATAGGAGGAAGTTGGTAATTGATGCAAATTTACAAATATACTTTTATGCAAATTTACAGATCGTATGGTAATTTTAAATTTGTGTTTGTGACTCTGATCAGAGAATACCGTCATGGAAGTGTATTTTATTAATGAACAATTGCGTGTTTATAATATGTGTGGTCCCCGAGAATTGTCCCCTACCTGTT